ATGAAACAAATATCTTGTATCTTAAAGTCTTAAACTTTTATAGCCAAAACTATAAGGCAAACGCAAGCACTTTTTTAATTCGTGTATAAATTTATCACCACAGAAAAAATGCCCGTCAGAAGTGCGTTTCAAGTTCCGAGAAAAAGGCATTTTAGAGAGGGGTTAATTATTGCTTAATTAATTTCAATAGCCGACCGCTAACTTAATCAAATAATTTCTTAAAAATTTTTCCCACTATTTTTAGCAAAAGATAAATTACGATTATTAAGACTATAAGACCTAAAATTGGAGTTAACAAATCGGGGAACAATCAATCGGGAAGGGGAATATTTAATCAACTATCATTTTTTTCGGTGTTTTCTCCGCTTTCCCCTTCGTTGTCGTCGTTATTGTTAACTTTTCGGTCGTTGTTTGGGGTGTCATTGGGTTCGTTATTTTCGTCTGAATTTTCTCTATGGTTTTCCTCAAAATTAGGAGAAAATTTTTCGTTAGGTTTGGGTTGTTCGGTAGGAATTTGTTCTCGTTTTTCTTTTTCTCATTTTTGGCTCTTTTCGTGGGCTTTTTGGTGCCTTTTCTCTCGGGCGGCTTTCTTTTCCTCACGGGTGGGTTCAATAACAGTAGGGATTTGGATGGCGGGTTGAGTTGGCGAGCTAGTGTTTAGGGTTTCGGCTGGGCTTTCATTTGTGCGTCGCAAAGCAAATTCGTAATCATTTTGTCATTTGGTTTTTTTTACTTCCTCCTCGTGTTCGGCTTCTCCCGCGGTTAAATAAGGGCGAGGGTGGGCTTTATACTGTTCCAGGGTTAACGGGATTTGGGGTAGTTCAGGAAAAATCCCCTTGTTTATGGGATTTATTTTTTTGCTTTCGTCAGGTGTTTTTGGTCGCTCGCCGATATTGGAAATTCCGGACGGTTCGTTTGTTTTGCCCTCTCCAGTCAATAAAGGTTTTTCAATCACAGGGTCTTTTAATTTGGCGTTAGTAAATTCGTATTTGATAGCCGATTTGTTAAGTCAAGGTAAATCTTTTACTCTTTCTACTAGTTCGGGGTCTCCCTCATGTAGTTTGTCGCATAATTTTTGGCGATAAGAAACGCAGTCGCGATAGTCAATTAGGTCTTTGTATTTAAGTTTTTTTAAAAGTGTTAGGCTATGGCATCCTAGAAATCTGTCATAACAATAATAATGCATTTCTTTTTCATATTCTTCATTTTTTCCCTCTTTGAGGCGATTAAATAAAATTAAACAACGAAATAAAACGCGATTAGCTATTTGGTCGATGATGCTATAATAACTTTCTTGCCAAATGTTATAACATCGTTTGTCATCCGAACAAATTTTTTTTTTGAAATTTTAAGTCTTTTAAATTTGTTTCATTTACTTGGTATGCCAGTGTGGTTAGGTCGGAAAGGTCAATAAAAGGCCTTTCTGGATAATCGTCATATTGGGTCGCAAGTTGGCTCCAAATATATTTACTATTTCTGGCTTGGGTTTTTTCTAAACCTCTAATTTTGGGAAAATTTTCATATTCGTAATAAAATTGAAATAGTTTTGTGTTGTTCTCTAAATTTAATCTTGTGAGGTTGTTGCCTTGACAGTTCAAAAACTCTAGATTTACAAAATCACTTAAATCTAAACTACCTTCTAAGTTTTTTTCGCTAATTTGTAAACTCCGGATTGAACTTCTTGTTCCTGTGGGATATTTTTTATCTAATCATTTTTGGGCTTCTACCATGACAATTTATTTTTTTTTGGCTGGTTCGGGGTTTCCTCAAATATTTTTTGC